CCATTGGGAGAGTGATGATAAGTGATAAATGAAATACTTTATGTATGTATGTATATAGTGATGAGGAAAAAAGGAGTGTTAGTTGGGGTGTGTGTGTGTGTGAGAGAGAGAAGAAGTGTATGTGTGTGTGTGTGGTTTTTGGTGTGTGAAGGAAGCTGGAAAACACTCACTCAGAAACAGCGAATTAAAGAGACAAAATATCAACAAGTGTACGTTGGGAGTTGACAGCGACGACAAAATAAAATCACCAACTTAATATAAAATTTTGTGGAGAGAGACGTATCAAATAGGGCCATATATAGGAGGCGTAAGCGATAAGACAAGTACTGTTCGAATTTTATTTGAATTTCTTCATCTTTTATAAATAAATAAATCAATAATTAATGGTGAAAATTTGTTATGTAGGTAGCTGAAATTTTAGGTCAATGACGGATCTACAAATTATACTTAGGGGGCTCGATTTGAAATGTTAAATAACGAGCTTGTAGTTTAAGTCGAAACATTTATTTCATATAAAAGTGTATTTACTATAAATATAAATATAGGTATGTGTACCATAAATTTTAAAAAACTTAGAATCTATATCACATTGCATAATTTATGGAAAAAAAAAATCATCTAATTATAATTTAATTAAGTTCAACATTCATAATTCATGGAAAAATAAGATTTTATTAGTTGAAAATTTGATTTAAATTGAACTTTTGCACCACATTGCATAACATTTTTGTTGATGCTAGCTTATCAAATGAACAATTTTTTTATAAAATAAAGTTAATAATATGTGATTATACAAAAAAGAGGAGAAAAATCAACATTAAAAATGTAACAATTCAATTAAACTCAGTTTTATAAATCATTAATTAATTTACAATAAGAGACCGAAAGAGTAAATCATTATATATATCTTCAAAAGTTCCTCTAGAAATTTAAAATATAAAGACTATTAGTACATTTTTCAATAAATAAATAACATTATTAGTGTAAATAAAAATAGCATAGGAAATAAGTTTTAATTATTAATATATTGTAAATATTTCTTTTCATTTCTATACATATTTTATAGTATTTTCTTTTTATATATATTGATTTTTTGTAATTTTAATTATTAATATATTGTAAATAACTTTTGCACATATTTTATTCTATTTTCAATATATATATATATATATATACATATTTTTTTTTTTTAAATCAGGGGGCCCAATGTGGCTCTGTCTTTGTTTTAGGTACTTCCATTTTCATGTTTTAGTTTTTCTTTTATTTAGAATTCCTCACTTTGCTTTATTTTTAACTAGAGTTGTTTTTTTTTTTTTTTTTTTTTTTTTTTTTTTTTTTTTTTTTTTTTTTTTTTTTTTTTTTTTTTTTTTTTTTTTTTTTTTTTTTTTTTTTTTTTTTTTTTTTTTTTTTGTTTAAGTTATTTGGGTGTTTCTCAAACCTTCTTTTTATTAGATATCTCTAATTGGTTGGGGACTTTAGAATATTGTTTAAATGATTTTGGAGATTTAGGAGATTATGGGTCTACGATGATGTAGAGTATGTATCCATGTAGGTAATATATATGTCATATTGTTTGAGGAGATTGTGTGATAGGATTAGAGATGTTAAATGGTTCTTGGCCCGACGGACCGGCCCGTTTAGCCCGAAAAAAAATAGGGTTAGGTCTTTTTATTGGTAACCCGTTTAAATCAGGGCTTTTTATGCCCGAACCATTTAAACCGAAGCCCGTTAGGGCTAGACCGAAACCCGCTAGGGCTGGCCCGTTTAACTTGAGTTGGGCGTTGTAAATGTTTGCAGCAGGTAAGTAATATGCTTTTAGATTCATTGTTAGTACAAAATAAGTATTAAACTTGTAACTGTTAGTAATAATTCGAATATTTTTTTCTTTTAAAAAAAAATGTTATTTAAGAGTTTATAATGTGTGTTCATATATGATGTGTAGTTGTATATATAGAGTGGTAAATACTAAATACCGTTGAAAATAATCGTTAATTAGTCATTGTAATTTTATATAATTTTTTATTTTTATTTTTTATATTTTTTGATACATTATTATTATTATTATTATTATTATTATTATTATTATTATTATTATTATTATAGCCCGCATAGCCCGTTTAGCCCGAAGCCCGCTAGGGTTAGGGTTAGGTCCTTTTATTGGTAGCCCGTTTAAATCCGGGTTTTTTTAGGCCCGGACCGTTTAGCCCGAAGCCCGCTAGAGCTAGCCCGAAGCCGCTAGGGCTAGCCCGTTTAACATTTCTAGATAGGATGGATGTGTATATATATAAGGAGTTGAGAATTTATTATCTAATTTTATAATTAAAGTTTTGTAATGCTAATAGTTTAATTATCTTTGTAGAGTTGACATTTTTTTTTGCTACAAAGAAAGCGGTTAATCATTAACTGAGAGATGCGAACATTTCGTGGATAAGAAATGCCCCTCAAGTCATGCTCGATCCACGGAACGACACCAGAAGGCGGAGTAGAGTTGACATTTTTTATTTACCTCACTAAGAGATGCACAACTAAGAGATGCGAACAACATTTTGTGGATAGGAAACGCCCTCAAGTCATGCTCGATGCTCGATCCACGGAACGACACCAGAAGGCAAAGTAGAGTTGACATTTTTAATTTACCTCAATAAGAGAAGCAAATATTCCGTGGATAGAAAACGCCCCTCAAGTCATGCCCGATCCACGGAACGACACCAGAAGGCGGAGTAGAGTTGACATTTTTAATTTACCTCGTAACAACATGGCGTGACTTAGTAATTCAGGCCATTCACATCAACCAGTGGTGGTATATTAGATTTCTCAGTTATAACAATAATTTCGCATAATATTTAGTGTAACTATGTAGTATTAAATTTTGTTGACTCACCGATCTATTTTCATCGAAATTACAATAAAAATTGAATATGTTACTTTGTAATTAATATACTTACATAGTGTATTTATTTTGAATATTCTAATTACTTTTGTAATTTTGTGCGTTTATATTTTATATTGAACTTTCACCGATCTATTTTGATCGAAAGTACAATAAAAATTGAATATGTTATTTTGTAATTAATTTTAGTTGCATAGTGTATTTATTTTGAATATTCTAATTACTTTTGTAATTTTCGTGCGTTTAAATTTTATTTTGAACTTTCATAGAACACTTTCATGGTATATTAAACCACTGAGCCAACAATTAGACAATTTTATATTGGACCTAAAAAAAATCAATTTTTTTCCCTTCTAAATAAGATTGTATACATATCTTGAAGAAAATAATATTACAAAGAGATATACTATATGTGGAAAAGGTAGAACAATTTGCACAGAGAAATTGAGTAATAAAAATGGGCTCCATAGGCCACGCATGTATTTAAATTTGTCCGTTGAGGGGTCTATTTATTATTATTCATTTGTTTGTCCGTTGCACCACCACTCTTCTTTGTTTTTCAAATTTCCACATGATCTTTGTATCAAAGTATTCCACGTGTTAGAATGTGACTTCTTCACACTTTTATGACTCATTTAAGCTCCATCTTGGTTTTATTTCCAAAATTTAAAATAACAATAAATAAAATAACGTTGCGTACACACCTTCAAATAGTATCGAACTTTTCTCTTTTTTAACGATAGACCTGCATCAAAATTCTCAATTAGACATGGCCAACTGCCCGGTCACGGCGCGGCCCGGCCAGCTGGATCAGCGGCCCTCAATTGTTGGGACCGTAACCTGTCCGGCAATTCCTGTGGACCATTTTTGAACCGAACGAACTGCCGGGTTTTAAAAGAAAAAAATAAAAAAATAAAAAAGCAACTATAACTTGTCGGAAAAACTGAAACCGGCCCGGTCCAACGGAAAAAAATGAATAAAAAACGGCCCTTAAGCTTGTTCATAACCCGGCTTATTCGGGCCGGTTCCAGGGCTAGGCCGGTTCTAGGGCCGGGTTGGCCCGTGGCCACCTCTAAACTCAGATCATGGTCATCCCTACTATATTGGATGAAATTCGATTTTTTTTTTTTTTTTGGAGATGATAAAGTAAAAATTGTAAAACTGGCAAACATCATAATACATTTACCGCTCACAGTATGATAATATAGGCACAATATTATTAACCTTTAATTAGTACGTAGCCCGTGCACGGGACAATAATTATAAATTGCATGTATTAAAATAATGAAACAATAGTGACTAGGATAATTTTTTTTAATATTGATATTTTTTAATTTGGATATAATATAATTTAATATATGAGCTATATGTTTAATTCGTTATAAAATAATTGTCATTTTAGGGTTTCTATTTATAATTAAGGATACTGAAAAATTAACATATTCAAATATTATCAATAAATAACAAGTACAATATATTTCTCTTTCTATCTTCCTTTACTCGTATCGTATTATAATATATATATTTTAAATAAGTTATACTAAAAGTTGAAAAATTGTGACAAATATTATAACCAATACTTAATTGAAAAGACTTATATATATTATTTTGTAGTTAAAAAATTATTAATTTTTAATTCCATCAATATCATTTTTTTTTATAATTTATAGTCATGTACATTATAAATATTTTCAATTTTCTTTATAATCAATTTATTTGTATGAAATTTCTATGATATTGTGAATTACAATATAATTTTTTTAAAAACTGGTT